AAAGCTTCCCGTTATTGACGGTCAGCCGGTTGTAGCGCAACGCGGTTCCAAGTTTTAACATTATACCGCCACCTCTCTTATTTTACTTTCTCTATGGTCCAGACCATAGAGTAAGTAAAATAAGAGAGGTGGCAATCATATGGGTGTCCTTATTACCGCGTTACGCAGGTAGCGCTGCAACTGGCTGACCGGCGACTGATGGCACTAAAATTTCGAGTTTTCGGCCAAGAAGTTCTGAGCAGCCGGCATGGTGGCCGAGCGGTCGCACCGACAGGCTAGCAATCAGTTCTGTCCTTTTTCAACTTGCAGAACAACGCGGCTGGATGTTATTCTTGAATTGCTAAGTTGACTTTGCTAAATGAAATTAACCTAAGAATTAAATTTAACCTTATTTTAACCACGTTTCCGATTGATCGGTCGAGTTAAAATAATTTCAGATTTCTAATACTTGTACGGTATTAATACCTACAAATAACATTTGCTGTCGAGACGTAAGTATTGCATCGTAACATAGTAGTATTTTTTGTGAATATTACCATTTTTTGTTTACTCTTGTTTGTTTGTATAATTTATATTTGCATAAAGATGAGTCCTCCTGATGATCGTGTTCTTTTCGTATAAATCTATAATAAATAGCATCAAACTGCAAAATTGCCTATTTTAAAGAGGGTAATCTTGAAAACTACGCAAAAAACTGTTTATTCGAATTCTGATCCATATAAAAATATTAATCGTCGCAGAAAATGCTTTGAAATAATGGAACTCTTGCTTCTAAATAAACGACTCAGAACTAGGACTTTGCCTGGCCAAATTTGTTGTTATTTAATAGTTCAGCATGGAACAGAATCGTGCAGCATATAAGTAGAAGACTTCTGATGGGGACTTGTACTCCCATAGGGCACAAGTGTAGCTACCCAGTTCATTCTTTTCGGACTCTTTGGAAGACAATTTGTGTTTTTTTTACTTAATAAAAGTTATTTTATTTTGATTTGGGTATATATTATTTCATTCCCTGTCATGGATCCGCTTAAATCCGGGTGGAAATTGCGATTTGAGTGTTACAATTTCGATGTCCTTGCACATTGTAGTCTCGGTTCATTATTAATGGAAATAGGAATTTGGTTGCACCCTGTTAAGTAAACAGCACATTTTGTATTACCATTAATAACCGAGAGAACATGTGTAGACACCGAAATTTGGGTACCCGGAGTATTTTGTACATTTAAAAATTTAAACTTCCCGCTTCTATCTAGCCGATAATCTAGATACCTGTTTTTACCGTCAAACCTTCCCGTTATTGACGGTCAGCCGGGTGTAGCGCAACGCGGTTCCAAGTTTTAACTTTATACCGCCACCTCTCTTATTTTACTTTCTCTGTGGTCTAGAAATCGCAAGTAGTTGATTGGAATTTCAAGTGACGGCAAGGCAACATCTAAATTGTCAATGTCAAGAAGTCCCTGAGCATAGAGAAAGTAAAATAATTTGTTTTAATTAAATTTGCACATTGCACATAGGAAAATAACTTAAGCCAACTATCTATTTGCTCAATAAAACATTTTTATTATTAAAGCGCCCCATTTGGTGTACATAATATATAGAGTAACGTTAAAAAATACATCGTTAAGTTCTTCTAAATCAAACTTAATAAGTCCAATAATTTTATCAATATTAATTAAGTTAACACAGTCAAAGTCCAACACTATATTAATAAAATCCAAAGAGTTTACGGTTACAACAAAATACCGGGAAAAAATCACCTAACCTTAAATCGTCTTAAATCATAACAAGCCGCCCTATACCTAGACGCTTGTAACAGACACCTAATCCTACCACAGATTACATAGTATAGATTGGACAGTTTTGCTTTCCCGCCAAAATGATTTTGCTAAATGCAACCACAGAGAGGCGTCGTTCAAAAATGCAGAGGATCAGCTGATTGTTTGCATGCGTTTGTTTTGTACATATGTCCATAAGAAAGTATGCATATAGCTGTCGATGTGAGTAGACGTGTTCTAGTCGCGGTGATAGTGGTGTTTACAGTTAGAGGCATACATCGATTAAATACCATTCCATACGAGGTGGTATTGC